GAAATGCCAACCGCAAAACTTTGTGTCGGAGGCCTGGAGTTCCGCGTGGTGAGGAAAAACTCGAGTGTGCAGAACGGCCACATTAGAACGAGGATGAATTACATAGTTAGATCGGTCCCTGGCAGTGCTGGACAGGAAAATATTGGGCGCGTGGGAGGCGTTTAGAGGGCAGAGGCCGGTTACTCTGCAAATGATCACCGTATCACTCGGTGATCAAGAAATCATTCTGAGCAATTGCCTTTATACTCACTCAGGTTCAGTTAACTCAGCTTTATATCTAGGTAAAAAAATATGTGCACACCTTTTGGAAAAGCGTGTGGCGACGGCAATGCAGCCTTTTACGTTCTTGTTGAATGTACCTAATGACTCCGCAATCCGCTGAAGAGAGTGGACCTGACCACAAGCCTTGCGAGTTGCGACCATTGGTGTTCGGCGCTCCGTAAAGCAGCCCTGGACCTACTTTTAGCCTTGTGTGCGGATGTGGATTTCAAAGTCTCCATCCTGGGTCTCGTCTTATCCCTCAGCGCTTTGTAGGATTTTGTAATATATCTTGTGGGCCCAGCGAACGGTGGTGAAGTCATTTTTTCACATGTTTTCTATTTCTTCTAAATTGTCGAACCAGTCCATCACTATCAGAGAGCTGTTTGCAGCGCGAAAGGAAGCGTTTACCACAGGTTGATGTCCGTATTGCATCCTGAATAAAGCAGGGGATATACTCAGTTTTTTTTTAGATGAAGTTGATCGAGTCGGTTAAAGCGATAGTTCGGTACACAAAGTTCCCATGGCGAACGCATTCGTGTTGTATGGCAACTTTGACCGCCACGTGCGGCGAATACCTATATGCGGGGATCCTGGCCAGGCGCTGCTCTGCGACAACTTTGACGCGCTGCTATTGTGCGGCAGTTCTGACGCGCATCTGTTGTGCGCGACAGGTGACGCCATTGCCGGGCTGCGCTGCTCAGTCTGCCACAAGATCTTCAAGAACCGCGACTCTTTGAGGAAGCACCGGGCGCTGCACGAGGGCCGAACCGTTTGTGGTATTTGTGGCAAGGCGTACAGCACGCTTTCCTATCTAGCGGAACACAGGCGGATATACCACGGAGTTGGGATGGCCGACCACCGGCCACCACCCCAATAATCATCGGTACCTAAACGAAATGCTGACGATGTGAAGCATGTACTTGGTGTCGGATATTCGTGGTTGTTGCCTGTTGGGTTCGCTATAAGGGTTGCTGGCTCGGAACAGTATTGTCCAAGCGAAGACAACCAGGTCAGGTCTTCGAAATGTGAGACAGGGAAGGGTTGCCTTTTCATGGGATCGCAGTGCGCGCGGATAGCTGACCAATGACATTTTTTTTCTCCGGAATTAGTCTTCTCAATCACTGGCTATGTAATCGCATTCAAAAGTCGCCTCTATTCTTACCGTTGTTTAGTCCATTCATATTTAAATCCTTACGCACCGACATACGCTTCGAAACGTCAACAGTTTTGGCAAAGACAGTCTGGCTTATGCCCTTTTTGATAGTTAAATGAAATGTTGCGTGATTTTGTGTTGCTATCGTTTTTCGTACGAACTATGTTATCGTTCATTGCTTTTTTCTGTTGCATTGCATAGATATGTAGATGCATGCTTTGTGTTCCGTTCAATAAAAAGCTCTCTTTCTATTCAATTGGCGTGTACTTTACAATCGACCATTGCGATCCTTTGATACGCTTTCCCGAGTCCGCGCCCCGCGGTAGGCATATGAGAATTGAGATCGCGCCTGCAGATACAAACGATGAAAGGGCAAAGGCTTAAGACGTTTGACATAACTTGCTGTGCCAATCAGTGTCTGTACCGTTTCTGTTTCTTCAACAAAAGTTTACCTTTAGGTTCAATCTGAAAAATCGCCATTTCGCAAAGAAAAGTCCCAAATTTCAACAGAATGTCTCAAAATTTAGTCCAAAGTCCATCCACCAACGCTAGGTGCAATGACGAATTCTTTATTTCAGCTGTACCTTGTCAGGCTTACCTAAAAGGAATGACGCAATTACTTAATCAATGCCATTCGGCGGATGGCTCAGTTGAGCTGGGGAACGATCGGCGAGCAGTGAGGCAACACTGGTTTTCCTTCCAAAATTGGTCCTATCACCCCAGGTCTCCGCCATTCAGCCGGCCATTGAGTCATAACCCGCGCCCCGTTGGGCTCTGCCGAGCAACGCGCCCGGTTGGGGGGGGGGGCATTTTGGCCCCCCCCCCCCTAAGATCTCGAGAACCACGCAACATAGCGACAAGCGGTAAACGGCGTTGGATAGCCCCAACGGGGAACTACCTTGTGACCCAATTTTATTGACCTAGGTTAAACCGATGACGTCACAGGTCAGGTCAAAGGTCCAATTTTCACCGTTTACAGGCACTTCAAGAAATGCGTTGTAAATCGAGTAAAATGCATTTCATTGAAAATCATCGATGGGGAAATGTTCTTCAAACACATATTTTGCTATTTGAGGTCACTGATACCAGGTCAGGTCACAGAGGTCAGGTCACGGGGGGGTCACAATATGAAAGTGTCGTGTGATACATGTTTTATGGTCCATTTTACATGACAAATGCGATCATATGGGTCAGGCAGCCTTTGGGGCCAGCTTAGATCACGTTTTGGTCAAGGTCAGGTCAAGGTCAGGTCAAGGTCAGGTCAAATTAGGTCAAATTTTAAAGTTAATATTTTTGCATAAAATGGGTATCGAATCGATGCAGCTCGTCACGGGGAGTTCAATAGTGGTCTTTGTTTTGCCGTACGTGGTCTAGAATTGCTAAAAATTGAGTTCAAAAATTTGACGTCATCATTTTTGAACAGTTTTTTCGCTATAACTTGGCCAAAAAACGATATATCGATCTGAAATTTGGTATGTATATAGAAGAGCGCTGGGACTATCACATATATTCCGGTTTTTTCGAAATTCGGAAAAATTTTGGATTTTTTTTAAAGTTTTTCTAAAAAAATCAATTTTTTGAATTTTTTTTTGTCAAAAACCAAAAATTTTGAAAATCCGAGATAGCAGTTTTGTAGCGCCGCTTTTTGTCTACTAGACCATACAAAGAACTTTGAAATTGCTTGATAACTGTAGATTTGGTGATTGTTTCAAGATTGCATGTTTTTTGCTCATTTTTGCTCGAACATGACCTCAGTTTGACCTCAATAACTCCTGACCTAAGGTGACTTAAGACTTGAAATTTGGTGTGAAGGTGTCAAATTGATGCCCGGGAAGGTACTGAAAATTTGGCGGCGCTGCGCGCCGCCGTTTTCTTGCTATTCAGGAAAAACCACAGGGGGGGGGGGCCAAAATGGCCCCCCCCAACGGGGCGAGGGCTAATGCTAGGCACGCATTTGTGCTGTGTGGTGATTCTGACATGCCGTCGTACGACGAATCTTACACAATATTTGGCGATTAGTATGCTGTTTTGCGGCAATTCTGACGCGCTGCTGTTCTGCGGCAATTCTGACGCGCTGCTGTTGTGCGCGGCAGGTCACGCTATGGCCGGGCTCTGCTGCCCATTCTGCCCCAAGACCTTCAGGAGCCGCGACTCTCTGAGAAACCACCGGGCGCTGCACGAGGGTCGGACTGTCTGTACCCTCTGTGGCAAGGTGTACAGCACCCTCTCCTATCTAGCGGAGCATCGGCGCACGCACCACGGAGTTGGGATGGCCGGCCATGGGCCACCTCCCCATTAATCCTTAGGACTGCCCAAGGTGTGAGTTCCCTGAAATCGGATTCCAGGGTGATGGGAGCATGAATGGATGGCGCACATCGGTCTCGTTGGAGCGACAATTAACGTCGAGGGCGGATTAGGACAGTCAGCATAAATAAGCCTTCATAAGCGCGATAATTGAGAATGTCGTTTGGAGAGCCGAAATAATAGTCTAGATCTCTCAGCGGCAACGGCGTTGTATTCACTTCTTATTTACATACAAGCTATTCAGTTAAATATACAGCTAAAGCTTTTGTGCGTGTGCTTGAATGTTATGCTCAACCTTGTCCAGGCGTTTCCAAGCAAAGGGCGCAAATTACCGTAGCAGCCGGGGCTTCCAAAGACCTCAATAAACCCACGTTTTGAAAAATAGTTTGGTTACAACTGCCTGACTGTTTTTTCATTGTTGCACCGGTTATTGAGATCATTATGGCCCGTCAGTTTTAAAACTCGAGCTTGTTAGCGCTGTGCTCCGATTGTAACATTCCAGAGCGGGGAGAAAGGTGGGGGCGTTTCGACGTCCGCTTGAACTAGGCGCCTGGACTGCGTAGTGTGTATAGCGGCATGATGTGTACGATATGTAAAGAAAAGACTTGTGAAGCCTGTACTTCGTTCAGTTCGTTGGTCAGGTCATCAAGGGTAGCATTTTATGAGATTTTGACATCTTGGGGCTCAGCTTATGATTAGTGATATGCCTAATAAAGCTACAGCGTCGCGAGAAGTTTTTAATATCTTTACTTGTCAGGATACCTATGTGATTGTGGTCAGGCAGGCTGGTACGAAAGAATGGTGCTAAAAAGGCGGCTATGTGGAAACTTTCATCTTTTTTTCGTGGAAAAAACTAATCGTTGAAAAAAAGCATTATGTGAAACAATGACAGAATTCATCATTACGACAGCAAAACGTTTGAGATTAGATCAGCCAAGCTACCTATGAGCTATGGATATGACTCAAGATAACGTGTCAGCTTGTGGCGGCAATTAAAGTGCCATGTTGTTGCCATGAGTTTTGATATTTGATTTACATGGAAATGTATGATTGACGGATCATCAGACATTAGACGACGCGAGAGTCGTTATACCCTCTGCGCAAGGGTATGGCACCCTTTCGTATTCGTATCTAGCGGAACAGTCTCGTACCATTCTTGCGGTGCGATGCAACGGCCCAACTTATTAGTGGAAGCGTTCTGACGCGTTGCTATTGTGCGGCAATTCTGATGCGCTACCGATGTTCAGCTACGATTCTGACGCGCGTATGTTGTGCGCGGCAGGTCACGTCATGGCCGGGCTGCGCTGCTCAGTCTGCCAGAAGACTTTCAAGAGTCGCGACTCGCTGCGTCACCACCGGGCGCTGCACGAGGGTCGGACGGTCTGTGTCCCTTGTGGCAGGGCGTTCAGCACTCTTTCCAATCTGTCGGAGCATCGACGCACTTTCCACGGAATGAGGAGACCCGGCCCGGCGCCGCCGTCTTAGTAATCGGACTAGACATGTGATGGAGGAGCTTGCAATGTCTTCATCTGATCAGCACTGTATTGTTCGGAACTCCAACTCCTGCGACCCCACTGGATTAGCTGCCAGCATGTTTTTTTTTCTTGAAGATATTTACACCGCCTGCAGTTTGGTTGCAAACGGCCTTTGGCTGGACTTCCAAACAGCTCAGTATGCCAATCGAAGGGTATTCAAATGTTCGGGACGAATTACGCGTTTAAATCACTCCGGTGAAGCGATTCTGGTAGGGATAAAGATTATGATTCAGATGATTTAGACGTGATGGAGCTGGGAAGGACCACAGCGGAATGAAGAACGTTCAATGCCGTTGTGATTTTGTGCTTTGGCTAACGAATATGTTGAGGCATGGGCGCAGTAATTGTGGAGTATGGAAATGTGAGAATCGGTATAGGTGTAAGCCACCCTGCGCGATTTGTGCAGGAGAACCTTTAACAGCCCAGAATGTGTTTTGTAATTAGGACTGTAGCGCCATTTGTAAAAGACCGGTTTGGGACGCTCGTCAGCAATGGCTTTAATAAAAAGCGTTGAAAAGTCTACTGTCTGTCAGTCTGTCTATTGTCTACTAATTACATCGAAGAAACAAATTGTTAATCCTTAATTTGCTATATGTCAGCCTCTCGAATAGATAAGACCGCCTCTTACGGGTCATCTTATTACATAAACGAGTGCGTGTTCTTCGCACATATCTGCAACATTTGTAGCCCATATCAGCCGTGGAGACGAGGCACAGCTCCACTATCAGGCTGCGGTTGTTGCAGCGACAGCGCCACTGTCGACACCTCGCCAGTAGTGTTATTGCTCTCAGTGACGTGCGCTACCGTCCTGGCGCAGACTACTGCTAGCATGATCGATGGGTATCGTAGAGTTCAGCATTTCGGACGTTCGGGTGGTATGAGGCGCTTCGGATTCCCTTCGGCCCTCATGCCAATCCATAAGCGGTAGTCAACAAACACGTCAAAGAAAGCGTTGAACTTGTGTCGAACTTGACATTCGTTCCATGCGCATTGAGAGGCGAACTGCAGGAATTGAAATGGTGAACTCTGAACGCTAATGTTTTCATAAGCCTACGATGGTAACGTTAAAATCGTTACCGAAATAACCTCACTCGCAGGTTTTCGGTCGGTGATCAAATATGAGCTGATCTAGTTGAATAACATGGCGTATCAAACAACATGGTAGTATATGACTGGCGCAGATTCATAGCCGTGATATCTCATGCCAATCCTGACGCTCCGGATGTGCGGGGCGAACGTGGCGCGCGATGACCCACTACAATTCTGACGCGCATCTGTGTTGCGCGGCAGGTCACGTCATGGCCGGGCTGCGCTGCTCTATCTGCCAGAAGACCTTCAAGAGTCGCGACTCGTTCCGTCACCACCGGGCGCTGCACGAGGGTCGGACGATCTGTGCCCTCTGTGGCAGGGTGTTCAGCACGCTGACGAATCTGTACCATCACCAGCGGAAACAACATGGCGGACCACCGGACAGCGCCCCTCCTCCTCCTCCCTCGCTGTCCTGAACCGCCTCAGGCTTGGGCAAAGCCAGGGAAGTTTCATGGACACCTGGAGGCTGAGGTTCCTCACGAAGGTGCTCTTAATGATGACTGTCGCGGCCCAGGGCTCTGAAGGGTCAGCCGTAGCCCGTGCTGTTCCATGATTGTGGACTGCTTGGAACTTTAGGCGTAGTCGAGGTGATTTGAGCGGGAGAGTGTTTCGTTCTGGGGGGGGGGGGGATGTGATGCCCGCACACTGCACAGCGTGCTTCCTTGGTGTTCAATGGGCTTGTTTTGGTTGACGGACTGACTATGTTTGTGCTTAATGTGGGGAGTCGAGGGAGCAGGGCTCTTGCAAGTCCATCCGGTTTGCGTCATACGTTCGGTACATCCTCGTAACTTCAGCCTAGAATATTTTTGAGCCTTTATTTACGTACAAATATGTATATTGAAGCTGTCAGCGGCCAGCGCTGCTTTTAGCGTACTTTTTGTGCTGCTTCATTCTTCCTCATTCGTAGTTCTTGATCTCCGAATACATGAGAACAAAAGCGACGCATTTGTTTCCGAAGATAAACCACCTCATAGGCTCTTGCCAGCTAGGCACCGATACCTAACTAAGGAAGCGATTACCTTTGTATTTCATTATCCTGCACACTGACCTGCTGCCGCATAAGTGCGTGTGCGTGAATGAAAGTAAAGATTGGCAACAAACCCCACAAAGAAAGTACAGTTCTGTGCCTGTGCCTGGTGATTGGTTCGAGGCCCAACAAGTCGATCTTGGCATATGAACAGATGACGTGTCATCTTACCTTTCGTCAGGTGAACAGCGGACGTGGTAATGCGTGGTTGGTTATATCATCGTGTTATTAGTTATATCATCGAGTCGACTGATGTCCTCTGTTACCTTGGGTTAGGTATTGGTTAGTCGATGAAACTGGTCCTGTGTCGTTTTGGCTTAGTTTCTTCGTCCACTTGCACGAGCTGTGCTAAAACCAAATGGAACTTACTCTACGCATCTCCATAATGCACAGTTCTGCAAAACTTGTATAGTTAAGGCATCAGCATATGCGCTATTCGTCTTGCTGTATCTGCGGGAATTTGTTCGTGACTAGCCGACAGCTGTTGTTTGGAATGCTCGATTCCGATACGCTAGTGATATGCGCCGATTTTGATGCGCTACTGGAGTGTAGTGCGGCAGTTCTGCCGTGCTGCTGTTCTGCGGTAATTCTGACGCGCTGCTGTTGTGCGCGGCAGGTCACGCCATGGCCGGGCTCTGCTGCCCATTCTGCCCCAAGACCTTCAGGAGCCGCGACTCTCTGAGGAATCACCGGGCGCTGCACGAGGGCCGGACTGTCTGCTCCCTATGTGGCCGGGTGTTCAGCACGCTGACGAATCTGGCGCAGCACCGTCGAACTGTGCACGGCATGCGACCGCCGCCTGCCGCCAGTTCACTGCAGCCGCACATGGGCGCCGTCCCGCTGCCGCCGTCGGCGCCGCAGGCATTCCTGACTCATCATCATCCGCATCCGCCGCCCATGTAGAGGTGCGATGTGCAGCCAGGGTGGAGATTGAAGCAAAAATGCGGTATCATGCGCTTGAGCTACTCAGTCGAGTGCATTGGAAGTGGCGTCAGCTGTCCAGCTGAGATACGGTCGAGCAGTTTAGCGATGTTACCACCACCGGTGTTCTTATTCCTCCTCTACCTCATCAGCCACTGAGTGACACTTAAGAGTCAGAAGTGTGTCAGATGTTTTGAAACACTTTTGAGCGCGTCCCCGGCGCCGAGTGTCACTCCGACTGCAGCGCCATCTACCGGCGGCCCGGCTGACCGGAGTTCTCCCTTCTGCCGGTAGGCGGCGCTGCGCTCGGAGGCTGGATGACGCGCGGGTCGGCAGCGCGCGGTTTTCCGTGCGCCCTGTGCGGCAAGACGTATGCGCTGCGCACCTCACTGACGCACCACATGGGCCTGCACCGTGGCGAGACGCGCTGTCCCGTCTGCCAGAAAGTGTTCTCCCGAAAGGGTCACATGCTCAATCACCTGCGCGCAGCGCATCAAATCACGTGAGACCTGCAGCGGGCCTAGCGCGGAAGCACGTAACCCGCCGGTGGGACCGGTGCTCTTGGATAGTGACCGTCAGGTGATGCTCCACTTACGGCCAGAGATATGGCGTCGAATGTCGACGACGGACGTAACCGTGGACGAGCCGATATTGTTTTGGCCAGTCTACCAGTGTGTTGTGAACATAGGTGGGCACGATCCGTTCCTCCGTTCCTCCGTTCCGGAACGCCGTTACAATTTTTAGGAACGGAGGAACGGACTCGTTACATTTTAAAAAGGGCAACGGACCAAGTAACTTCCGTTACATTGGTTGTTCGTTCCTCCGTTACACTTTACAGTTTAGTCCGTTCCCTCGTTCCTCCGTTACTTTTCGTTGTCCGAGCGGGTTGATCTTTCAGCTAACCCACAGACATTAATGCAGCAGCGGAATAGTGGATTATTGAGCAGCCCTGACTTGACGAAGGAAGATGGCCTCAGTGTACTGGCCTTCCGAAATGAGCCGGCGTTGCAGTTTGTGTTCGCAAAGTTCAACACGGGCGTCCCTTCAAGCGCCTCAGTAGAGCGCATGTTCTCAATGGGAAAAGATGTGCTACGTGCAAAAAGGGCTACCCTTTCAAAAAGTGGCAGCGGAACATCTTCAATTTCTTTCCATGCAACGCACATAGGGCTAATGTTAAAATGCCAAAATCAAAGGGAAGCACGGTGCACCGGTGTCCCTCCGTTCCACCGCCTATGCTCTCAGATGCCAACCCGGAAGGTCTAGTGTTCGTGAAGGGCAACCGGCATCTGGCCGGGGACAAGTGATGCGCATCAGTACCACCAGACGTTCCAACTTCCAAGGTTTAGTGCCCAATCAGTGCCCGCTGTCTTGGTAGATTTGGTGGGCATTCCGCTTTCTCGGTATGTTTAGTTTGTGTCAGAATGGTCTAAAAAATGTTTGAAATACACAACATTTTAACGTTTTTTTTTTATTTTGCTGTAACGGAGTAACGGACTAATGAACTTCCGTTACATTATATGCAGAGGAACGGAGGAACGAGTAACGGAAGTCACGTTTTGAAGGAACGGAGGAACGAGTAACGAAGTTACAATTTTGGGGAACGATGCCCACCTATGGTTGTGAATTGTGATTCTGAACGTATTACCTAATCTTGTATGAGTTAAGCGCGCGACACAGTCAGAAGAATAAGTTGTTATGCCTGTAAACTAAGTCGAGAGAAATATACATTGTCGTGATCAAGCTCGGCCCTGTAGTGTGAGTGGATGTCCAACTGACAGGCACAGTTCCGACATCGTCACTTCCACAAACAATCCACTTCGCCACCACCACGGCCAGCGCCGCCGCCAGCACCACCACCGCCACGGCCACCGCCACCGCCAGCGCCGCCGCTCACGCCAGCCTCTCCGTTGCAGGGCACGGAGCTCTGGCGGCACTGGCGGCGGTGGCGGCGGCGGCCGGCGGTGCGCGCGGCGCCTCCCCGCAGCCTCAGTTTGCCTGTCACGTGTGCGGGCGCACGTTCACGAACCGCTCGTCTCTGAGCCACCACCGTACCGTGCACCGCGGGCAGACGACGTGCGCGCTCTGCGGCCGCACCCTGTCCAGGATGGGCGAACTGAGGCGACACATGCGGGTCATGCACGGTTACCCGGCGGGGGAGTCGGGAGAGGGGACCGTGAGGAAGGGCCACGCGGCCGAGGAGGGCGCAGAGATGGCGTCAGCGGAAAAGTTTGCTTTCTAGTCAACGAGAGAGCGACAACAATCGGCTCAACCGAGCTACCGTCGAATGCAATAATGTGACTCCCCATCGGGGACATGAACGTTTATTGTCTCATGTAATAATGGTTTGTATGGATTCGGACTAGGCGAAAGCGGAGATACTAAAAAGACCAACAGAATTAGATGAGGTAGCGGTTAATTCTGAAAACCTATCAGAAAGGAAATAGGCAGGACGGTGCGTTTGAAGATGGCGATTGCCATTTCCGGGATGAAGGGCGCCATCGCGACGTGACGGATTAATCCTTGACATGTGTCAGGATGACATCTGCTTAGAATGGGAATACAGGCCGTATAATGAAGATAATTTGATTCATTAGACTTCCGATTCGATTTCATTTGCGTGAAGAAGTTAACTGTATGACTTGTTTCGATAACAAGAAGAGTTATGTTTTGTGCCAGTTTCAGTATTTGCTCCGTTGCGCTGCTGCGCTTTTTGTGCTCTTACCCTTAGCAAGCCCCTCGTATATAGCCAAGGCATGCCACTTAAGACAAGTTCTTTATAGCGTTTATCGGGATATATCATGACAATTGACAGCGCGTTTCGATTTGCGAGGAAATACACCTTTATGTAAAGTTGCTTCATGCTTGTATATTTGGTGATTAGTTCATAGTTGCATG